GGTTTACACTGGTTTATACTGGTTTATACTGGTATTTACTGGTTTATACTGGTTTTACTGTTTTATACTGGTTTATACTGGGGGGAGACTGGGAGAGGACTGGGAGGGACTGGGAACCACCACTGTGGGGCCTTACTGGTTTATACTGGTTTACACTGGTTTACACTGTTTTATACTGGTTTATACTGGTTTATACTGGTTTTACTGTTTTATACTGGTTTATACTGGGGGGAGACTGGGAGGGGACTGGGAGGGACTGGGAGGGACTGGGAAGCACCACTGTGATGCCTTATACTGGTTTATACTGGTTCATACTGGTTTATACTGGTTTATACTGGTCCGTACTGGTCCCTCCCTACTGGGAGGACACAGTCCCCTAAACTACTGGTCCATACTGGTCCATACTGGTCCATATTACTTTATACTGGTTTTTATTGTTTCATTCTGGTTTATAGTGGTTTATACTGGTCCATACTGGTTTACACTGGTTTATACTGGTTTATACTGGTTTTTACTGGTTTATACTGGTTTTACTGGTTTAGACTGGGAGGGGACTAGGAGGGGACTGGGAGGGACTGGGAACCACCACTGTGGGGCCTTACTGGTTTATGCTGGTTCATACTGGTACATACTGGTTCATACTGGTTTATACTGGTTTATACTGGTCCATACTGGTCCCTCCCTACTGGGAGGTCACAGTCCCCTAAATTACTGGTCCATACTGGTCCATACTGGTCCATACTGGTCCATATTACTTTATACTAATTTTTATTGGTTCATACTGGTCCATACTGGTTTATATTGGTTCATACTGGTTTATACTGGTCCAAGAGCTTAAGGGGAACCAACTCTGAGGAGTCACCACCCACTCTCCAAACCCTCCCCTACCTCCCATACTGGTTTATACTGGTTTATACAGCTCCGTACCACTTTATACTGGTTTTTATTGGTCCATACTGGTCCATACTGGTTTATACTGGTTTCCGGCAGCGCTGGCCGCCGTCGGGGGGTACCAGGGC